CTAGCTGAGAGAAATTTTACATTTTCTATCCATAACTGCATAGAAGATCTTTGTCATCTCAAACCTTTGCCAGCTACATCACAGCCTGGCAACAAGAACAACGAAAAACTGTAATCATAGTTCACTCAAGACCTCTGTTCTCAGACTTATTTCCATTATATTCTTTTACAGTCTGTCTTACAGATTTAAGACTGACAAGATGAAGTAGACTTAGTTCTCTTAGCGTATGGCAGCTCAGACTGCTCCAGACTTTCTCATAAAAACTGATTAAGCTTGAATAGCAGATATAGTTATCGAAAGGACATAAGTGTTCTTGGCTCAAACTCCTGTTTTTCATATTTCAAGTTACTTACCCACTTTTCAGCCTTACCAATAGCCTTATTCTTTATTGAAGCATCATGCAATCGTGTTCACAGCTTTGCTTCACACACACCAGAAGAGTTCCTGGTACAAGTGACACAGCTGCTTTGGATACCACAACTCATTTGCCAATGTTTTAAGCAGCTCTAGGTCTTATGAACGTGAAGCTTTTACAAAAGTGTTTATAATCTGGAATGTCAACTGAGAAGTGAGGTCAGTCTCAAGGCATTAGCAACACTAGATACAGACTTTGATCATTTTGTGGACTTTTATCCAACTAACTCTCACTTTTTTACCTGAAAACACACTATCTAGCATGACTAAAACATGCTGTCCCCCAAGGCTTTTAGTCTCCTTCTCTGAGTTTGATCAGATAAATCACAGCCTTTCTGGAACAAGCAAGAGTGGAAACACTCAAAAAAGGGTGAAGAAATTAAAAGCAATGCAACTTCCTGAATCTCAAGAGAAGACCAGAGATCAGGTTGGCCCCTCCTCCTCCAATGACAAGCAGTTCACAAATGAAATGCCATCACAGATCTGCAAGACTTGGACTCTGGATGGCCAGACTGAGGGGGACCCAGAACCAGGAGCTGGCTCTGGCAAGACTTCTCTCATGAACCAGGGTATGACCACTGAAGTAGGTCAGCTGATCCAAAGCTGACCGTCCTCCAGGGGTTGCTGCCTTATCGATTACCTACCTCTACCCACCCAGCCCAGCCCTAGAACGCTAAACCACCACTGAATTTTACCACAGCTTTAGTCAGACAACAGACAACTGAAGAAACTCTGAGAAGGCAGAGTAGGTGGTGTGTTTGCAGACATTTCTCGGACCTTGCACTCGTAACCACCATTGTGCACCATTTCCCAGTTCCTGATTTTCAGAGGTACCTATCACAGATGAAAGTCCTGTGGCAATACACAGCTTGTGGTTACAATGGAAATAGGGTCAATAAAAGTGCATCCTTTTCCAAATCCCTTATCCTACTGAGGAAATAGGCTGGGAAAAGAGCTGTGACTGAAGAAATGGGTTAATTTTGGGGAGAAAATAGAGAAGTCTGTCCAGAACTAAAGTGAGAAATGCATCATCAAACGTGCTATAATGGACACACCTTGCACATTACAAAGCATGGCTTGCTGCTGAAGCCCTCCTGCTCCTGACAGTCTGCACATCCTTTCAGCTCCTCAGGAAAGAATCAGGGCAGGGGGCATGACTTGGGCGTATGGTACGTGCCTAGTGCTATACAATCCAGATTGTTATATAGACTTCTGAGCACTTCTAGAGCATATCCAGCACAAAACAATTCCTATGGCTATTTAAAAAGGAGGGAGGATAGCAGCTAGACAGCCCCCTCCAAAAATATATCAAGAGGCATACATTTTAAAAGGATTTTGGTATGCTCGTGTAAATCTAAGTTTTATGAATGCAGATGATAGAAGACTATACAGCACTATCAAACTAAAGATATAAATACCCACTGTCTTGAAAAACATGTTCTGTTGTAGCTCTCACTCTGTCATATTTAAGACTGATGGCAGCTTTTTTCTAGAGCTGCTGCTCATAAAGTCTGCTCCATGTTTTTGAGGACAAGTAGCAAATTTAACATTTGGAACTTTTGCTCAAGTGCAGGTAACACCACAGGGACAACCTCTATAAAATCAATACTGAGCTCTGCAGTGTCACCTCTGTAGTTGGTTTTGCTCTAATAAATGACCAGCTAGCTCACCACATTCTAAGGAGGTAGCAACATGAGACACGCGAGAAGTGTTTAAACAAGTGTAAAAGAAGAAGTGCTGCTGATGTACCAGCCAAAACAACAGCTCTTGGCTGAACCTCATTTTGGCCAGGTGCAGATCCTGGATGGGCAGTTCCTTAGAAGACAACAGAAGTGAGGGAGCATTCAGTTTCTCTATTATCATCTTGGTTTCCTAACTTTGGCCCATGATAATGCAGCTCAGTAATCTCCTGCTACTTTGCCTCTCCCCAGGGACACAGCTCCCATCAGCTCCCACTGCACACTGTGGACACTCCCAGGCGGGAGATGCCCGCAGTACCTGCTCATGCAGTTAGAGGTGCTGCCAGGCTGCACAAATGTCTAACAGGGCACAAGGTTTGTCATGGGACAAGCACTCAGGAGAAGGAACTAAAGGTAGCAGAATGCCCATGATGGACTGAGACAGCCTGGGTCTTCTGCAGTGAGCAGCACTTCAGGCTTCAAAGAGAAATGCAGGGAATCATAGAATCATTTAAGCTGGAGTTCTGCAGCAGACAAGTGAGAATAAATTGCCTGAGGAGAAATTACTTTTTAACCTTCATAGGCTGTATGAGTGACTTATGACGACCAGCATGACGATTCATGTTTCTTCTTACATATTCCTTTCAGTTTCCTTCTATTCTATGATTCTATAAACAGCACAGACTCATAGAATCATAGAGTGAATTGCATTGGAAAAGTTCTCTAGTTCCACCCCCTTGCATGGACAGGAACACCTTCCACTGGACCAGGTTACTCCAAGCCCTGTCCAATGTGACCTTGAACACCTCCAGGGATGGGGCATCTACAACCTCTCTGGGCAACTTGTGCCAGTGCCTCATCACCCTCACAGTAAAGAATTTTTCCCAATATCTAATCTAAACCTATTCTCTTTCAGTTTAAATCCATTTTCCTTTGTCCTGTCACTCCAGGCCCTTGCAAATAGTCTCTCTCTATCTGTCTTGTAGGCTCCCTTTAGTTACTGGAAGACTGCAGTTAGGTCATACTGAAGCTTCTCTTCTCCAGGCTGAACAATCCTAGTTCTCTCAGCCTTTCCTTACAGCAGAGGTGCTCCATCCTTTTAATCAACTTGATGGCCTCCTCTGGACTCACTCCAACAGGTCCATGTCCTTCCCATGCTGGGGGCCCCAGAGCTGGAGGCAGCACTGCAGGTGGGGTCTCACCTGAGTGGGGCAGAGGAACAGAATCCCCCCACCCTTACCTGCTGCCCACACTATGAGATCAGCCCAGGACACAGGGGGTTTCTGTGCTGCCAGCACATATGACCACGCCATGTCCAGCCTCTCCCCCAGCAGCACCCCCAGGTCCTCCTCCCCAGGGCTTCTCTCAATCTGCTCATCCCCAGCCTGGATCGATCCCGAGGGCTGCCCTGACCCAGGTGAGCGCCAGCACTTGGCCTTGTTAAACTGCATGAGATTCCCATGGGCCACTTCTTGAGCTTGTCCAGGTTCCTCTGGATGGCTCTGTCCTTCAGGAATGTCACCTGCACCCTCAGCTTGGTGTCAATTGGTGAAGATGCCTTCAATCCCTTTGTCTACATAATTAATGAAGATATTAAATAACACTGATATTGATAATGATTAATAATGAAGATATTAAATAAAACTGATCCCAGTACAGACCTATGAAAGACATAAATATATCTGTATCAATGCTCTATCTCCTTATCTCGTATAAGCCACATACATCTCCAGGAGTCCCTCGTTCTGTCCATCCATCCCTAGGTCACACTGACAACTGAAGGGTCCCCAGACACCTTTCTTACCTATGAGTCCACCACTGAAACCACCCACCCAGTACCAAACACGTATTAAAATAAGTCTCCCCGTTGCCACTTCAAGATACATATGATTTTTTTAATACTTCTTCTAACTCTCTTATTTCTTTTGAATCTTCCTAAACTTTTGCTGAGAAAAGCCAAAGGCTAATGTTGTATTGGGGTAAAACAATTCTCTAACAATTGTTTTCAAAACTGCTCCTGTCCTAGATGAGACTTTAGGGCTTTAAAGATACAGAAATACTACACGAAAAACAGTATCATCTTCCCTTGTAGCAACAAAATAAAGAATTGCATGCAATCTTTGGCAAAACAGAAAAAAATCCAATAAAATTTGCACAAGTTAGACACAGCAGTAACAAACAGAGGTAACATTATATTAAACACAGAGCCTTACATTTTCAAATTCCTCATTTTTTCTGATTTGCACAACTCATTTGGGACACAGTTTAATCATTTTCTTACCATTTGGCCAATCTCCTTCCAAGCAGTGTGGTCAGCCCCAAATAACTACGTAACCAAAGCACTTATCAATCTCTGTTTCTTAACTCTTGCCATATGTCTGCTGAACAAAAGCAGATGATGTGTTGTTCCCTGGATAAACAGCCTTTGCTTTTCATTTAAATGCTTAGCCTTATTGCATAGTTACAACTCTAGAAATGGTACAAAACATGAGCATTTGTAGGAATTAATAGCAGCCAAAATTCACATTTGTTTGAACTGTCATAAAAACCTTGTCCACTCAAACACACCAGGCGTATTTATGAAAAATGAGCACCAAAGCCCAAAGGCAGAGGCAAGCATTCTGCTTTTTGGTGACACAGTGGTACTCAGGATGCAGGTTTGGAGTAGAGGGGCAAAGCCTTGGAGTGAAGGGATAGATACATCATTTGTTGGCTACAAGCAAACACAAACGATTTACACAAGACTTTCAACTGACTTTCAATAGAGCTGCTCTGAAACCACATTTTAAAATAGACTTTTGAGAAAATGACTCCACGTCTGACACAATTATTCCATAAAGGGCCTCTCCCTACAATGTGCAGGCATAGACAATTCATGTCACTTATCGGTGTTAGAAAATTGCTTACCTGTAACTATAGGATAGGACTGAGGCCCAGGAACACTCGCTCCCAAATCTGCAGAAGTAGGGCTGGTTATATTTGCCTTCATGTCATCCAATCCACTAGCTAGTGAGGCCATGGCTGAGTATTCAGTTGCCTGGAAAAAGAAACAAAAGGCATTTTAGTGATAATAAATTTACTATTCAAGAGCTTTTACCTGTGCGACAGAAAGTAGGTGCAATATAGAACTCAAAAATCCTTTGTTCTGCCAGTTTTAAGGCAATGCCCAGTTACATGGGGCTTTCAGCACTCAGTCTGCTCAATAAGTGGGTTGGTGCTTATCACCACTGTTCTTGGAGAACACTAAAACGGGCTTTCTTTATAAAACAAAAGCCAAACTCATCAATACATAACAAGATTTTCTTGAAGGTGGAAATTTTGTAGAATAACTGCCAAGTGCAAGTTACTTGCTTGTTAGAGAAAAATGTCCTTGCCTGTTAACCTGAACTCTCCATATTTCAGTGGTGGCACTTGAGTGGACATGCACTAACAAGAAGGGAGGAATGGCATATCCCATTTCCCACATTTCTTCATTGTCTCACAAGAAAGTGCACATACATATTAATGTTTGCTTAATGGATGCATTCATAGCCAACTGTTCCTAAATCGAAATTATTTAAAAATAAATCACCTGACTGTAGTAAGGACGCTGTCTCATTTCAAGGGAATTTCTTAATTTCATTAGCCAAAGGTATTGTAAATGAGCACAGGTCCCAAGAAATAAAACCATTTGTGTCCCGTAACCTGTGTAAGTCCCTGTAGCTACAGCAATCTACAGTCAGTTTGGAGGATATACGTGTATATGGCACAAAGCTTATCTTCATTTGCCTTATTTCCATGACTTCTTATAGTCAGGATCATTCTCACAAAACTGGGAAGTTTCCTCATAAAGCTCTCCCTTCCCTGCTCCTATCTGCCCTTTAAGTTTTAATCTCTTATTTGTGAGATGGCAATCATGCCCATAACAAGTGGAGGATGATAATTTCAAGCTAAGAATGGCAATAGGAACAGATAAACTAAAGAGCAACCACTGTGAGGCCAATCCCTGCTGAATTCCTGAAGATTAAGTCAATGCAGAAGCTGCACAGAGGTGAAGAAATGCTGGGGAAATCAGGATCACGTGGGGTTTATTTTGAGTGACCAAAACAAAAATCAGAGTATCACAGAATCCTAGACTGGTTTGTGTGGGAAGGGACCTTAAAGACAATCTTATTCCACCCCCTACCATGGACAGGAACACCTTCCACTACACCAGGTTGCTCAAAGTCCCATCCAACTTGGCCTTGAACAGGGATGGGACATCCAAAAAAGTTAACTTTTTTTTCAAGGAAACAAAATCTGGTCTGAGTGAATACATCCTTCTCCCCCTTGCAAGTTTGTCCAAGAACCCAGCACACAATCTGGTGCTTGCCACTAACACAACACTTTGGGTCAAATATACCTGTTAATGTCTCTGTTGCCCACCTCTCACTCAAACAGAAGTTAATTTACCTGGATAATTATGTATTAGCAGGTCTGTGTAATAAACATGTATTTTCTGGAGTACAGTCTGACACCTTGAAGGTTCCCCTGTATAAATCCCTTGCAGATGTGTGTGCCAAATGCATTTTGCGAGGGACTAGCCCCTGGCCACCCTTGTCCTGCACCCAGCCCATGGATCAGAGTCCTCTGACTCATCTTGTAGGCTCCTCCCTAACCTTTGCATTAAAGCTGTCCTGTTCCTCAGTCCTTTTAGCTCATTCCTTCTCTGACACCCTCCATACCCTCATGTTTGCCTTGCCTTCATGCACCCAGCCCCTTTCATCTGCCACCACTGCCTCAAAGGCACCCACACCTCTGTCTCATCCCCCATTTCTGCCCATTGCAGAGGATGGGCCCAGGAACATCCCTCCTCTGAGGAGGGTGCCAGTGATGGTCCCAGCCTTCCTCCTTCCTATAAGTGCAACCAAAGCTCCTTCTTCTCACTTCACATCACACCAAGGTGCATTTCTCAGTCTTCCAACATCAGTCTGAGCTCTCCTACATCTCCAACCCCACCTTCCCTTATTCAGAGTAAATGCACATGCGGCAACGCTGCTGGGTTTTTTCTGTCCACAAAACCCTGATCTAACAAGACACCAGACAAACAACAGCCCTGCAGAGGCATTCCAAGCAACTGATGATGCATGAGCATGGATGGGCTGGCAGCACAGCAGAGAAAAAAACCTGTCTTTGTGTGCTGCTGTTTGGTATTTCTGATATCTGGAGAAGAGCACACACCAATTCCTGGAGAAGGATGCCTGATTTTACCACGTTGTTCTATGAAAGCCACAACCCCACCATATCCAGACTGGAAAATCTCTTCGTACTCTCCCATGGGGCACTGATCCACTGCCCCCAATGAGCAGGGAATGAATGTGGCTTCCCACTTACAAAGTGGGAGCTACAAACTTGTAGTTTGGGAGGAAGCATCCAGCTGGGATGGGACTCTTGCCACAGGCTGGGTCATGCAAGACAACTGGGGTGGCGGTTGCACATCTAAACCCTGCCACCAAAAGCAGCTTTTGGAACTGCTGATCCTTGCACAAACCCAACTGGAACCAGCCTGAGCCCCTGCCTGCAAATCTCCAACAACTCCACAGCTTGCTTCCCTTCAAAGGTCCAAGGAAATGTCATGGGGAAAGCAGGACCAGAGTTAAAAGCTTTAACTGTAATGACCTCAAAACATTATGCCAACGAACCATGAGCTGGTCCTTCAAGCTCAGAGAGACTAATCAGTTCCAGTGCCAGAAGCAAGCAGTGATCAGGGTGTAGCACACCCTGTCAGAGGTCAGGACAATGGTACCCCGTGCTCTTCTGTGTCACTGCACCGCAGAGAGTTGGAGCAATGTCAGCGGCACAGCTCCAAACCATGGAACCACATCTGTGGACTGGAGAGACTGGAAGCATTGTAGTTGCTGAGCACAGTGTGGAGGGAGAGCCCACAGTCAGGCAGTGCTGTGGGAGGAATGAGAAGGCGTAAGGTAGAGATGTGCAAAATGGAGATCTGGAGTCCCTCCCTGCTTTTGGTCCAAATAATTTGCTGCAGACAGGAACTGCACCTCTTTTACAATGGCCCAGCAACATTTTCCTAGAGGTAAGAATAGCAAGATTTTCGGGGATTTTCCAGATGCTTTCCAGTGCCCAGATCACTCCTTGAAGCCACCAGCAACTGAACACCAGCAGCCACATGGACCAGGCACCAACCACTCCTTCCAGCACCCAGGCTGAGGGGCTGCTGACCCCTCTCTGCTTATGCTGTCCCAGTGGAGGACTGATCATCAATATCACATCTACCTCTGCAGTAGCAGTTCCCACTGCACAGCAGAGGGGGTGTGGTCAGGGCCATCAGCAGCAGGCTGGCACAGTGGCTGTGATCAACACTTGGCTGTGGGCGGAGAAGACACACCACTGCCAATGGTGAGAGACTGGGGAGAGGCGACAGTCAGCAGAAGCATCTTTTGGCCCATGAGGAGAGAAGAGCCACAGGTGCAGAGCAGAGGAGCCTTCACCCTAAAACCAGCTAGTGGGTGCTGCCTGCAGCTCTTCTCACCCCCGTGGAGGGGCAAGGGGACCCCAGTACCCCATGAAGAAGCACAAGCCTCTCTATCACTGTGGCTTCACAATGCTGGGTGTTGACCCACTCCTGAGAGGTAAAGCGATGTCCCCTCTTCCCGCTCCCCCCAGGCAGAGCTCTTTCTTTCAGGCACCCCATTCAGAGAGGAGAACCAACCCCAGGGGGAGGCAGTGCTTGTGGAGCAGCCCCTCACTCCATGGCCCCATTGAGACTCTCCTGCCAACTCTTCCCAGGAGCTTCTCCAGCTGGTCAGGGAGGGGCAGCAGAAGGGGTCTCAGACTTGGCTCCTGCACCAGTGACCTGGCACTGCTGCTGGTGAGGAGCAGCTCAAAATGACGATCATGGTTAGGGGTCCCTCCTCGCGCAGCCAGAAGCCTGACCTTCTGCTTGGTATGTGAAAAAGCAAGAGTCGGGTGTTCAGTACCCTAGAAATTACCTGAAAAATGACTGCCTGCGGTTGTACCACGCACTGTCTCATCAGCATGGAGCACCACTGCCATAGCATGGAGGAGAGAAAACACAGACATGTGAAACGAGGAATAATATAAAGGAGAGAATGAGAAGCTCAAACTGAAAGGAGGGGCAAGACCAGATCTCCTGTGTCTCCCGTGCCCCGTCCCACTCAGCTCTGGCAGACAAGAGCTGGAGTCTGGCGGAGGATTGGTTGGGGTGGTGAGGAGAGAGGTGGTCTCTGAGCACCTTTGGGCAGCAGCACATGGGCAGCAAGGTTTGCACAGATTTCTCCCTCCCCACCAGATTTCTCTGCAAAGTGCAAACAGGAAGATTTCTGCTCTGAGTAAATTTTTACGTCCACCACCACTACAAAGGCTTTATGTCTAAATACTAACACCCCTGGAGTGGAGAAGTTAAAGGGCAGATGGAGGGAAAAGGGGTGCAGGAAGGTTTCAGGATCATTTTCAAACCTGCTGCACTATAGTGAAGCAGACAGACAGACCATCACCAGCTTCACCCTGCACTTTTCCTAGCGAAGATGCCGAAGTGTAACCCATTGAAAAGTCAACAGGTACAGAAATTTTCTCTTTGAGATTTATCTGGAATTTTATCCTAAATTGTTATGCAAAGATGGACACACAGTAGAGAACAAGATCATTCCCTGTAACAGCCTGGTTCTAGGGTGCCAGTGTGGGAAAATCAGGGAGCTCCCATAGGCTTGGATGAGACCTGCAGCAGCATTGTGACCCAGGTAGTGTGAGACAAATGCATCCCCCTTCTGCCCTGTCTCTTTCGCGGGGCACGGACCAGGTACCCATCTTGAAGCGATTGCACCAAGCAAAGACAGACAAGAGATGCCTGCTGCACAGGGCAAGTGGCCACTGAAATGACCCAGCTGGGGTCCATTGGGACTTGCACATGTTGCTTTTTGCATCTGCTCAATTAAAATACCAGGCAGGCATGAAGCAACACCTCCTGTGCCCTCCTGCCAATGACACAGCTGCCCCCAGGCCCACAACACTGCTCAGGACACAGCAGCAGCAGCACAA